GGAAAGCTGTGGGTGAAGAAGAGTTGTTACCACCACCTATTAAGAGCATGTTAAGGAGGTCAAGGAGAAACAGAAGAAGACATAAAGGTGAAACACAAAACATTAGGAAAGGGAAGCTTAGGATGCTTATTGGAAAAGGGAGAAAAATGACATGCAAGGTGTGTGGCAATGAAGGGCACAATCAGAGAACCTGCCCATCTAACAATGCAAAAGGCAGAAATGAGAGTGCAAGAGTGAAAATCACGGTAAATATGATTACTTTTGGTCGGTAAAAATATATACTTTTTTTTTTGATAATTTAATTGGCGGTTAAGGTTATTTTCCCTTTGAAACTGTATTTCTCCCCTATGAATTTAGTGGATGCTTGAAGTCACATGCTTTAAAACTATTTTTTTTTTTTTGTTGTTCCAAGGTGAAAAAAAGAGAAAGAAATAGAGAGGTGAAGGTGCCTCAACCTCAATTAGCAAGAAAAAGAAGGTGAGGGTCCCTATAGCCATAATGAGCTTTACTATATGTTTGAAACCATATTCCTTTTTTTTTATATATATATAAGTTTTATAGTTAGATTGTTAATAAAGTAAATCACCATACATGTTGAATGATGTAAGGTGTTGATGTTGCTGCCAGTAGTGTGCCTGCAAGACCTACCACAACACATGGCAATGAAAAGGCCTGAATATTGCTTTTTAAATGTAAATGGAAATGCTTTGTTAGTTTTTGTCTTTTTTGAACAGTGGTGATTTAGGGTTTTGGTTTATTCAAATTGTGACCAAATAGGTTAAACTAAGGCCATGTCCTTATCTAGATAGCTTGTATTAGTATATAGCTTGTATCAGTGAATGACCAAAAACAACAGTATATATGGTCATATGGATTCTGCATTTTGTATATTTTGTAATAGTAAATTGCCAAAAACAACACTTAATGTATGGCCGAATAGGGGATTTGGTTTTGTATATTTTCTTTCAATGAATGGCAAAAAATGGAAATTATTCCTACAAAGGCTTTATGTATGTATACCTTGCTTGCAAACAAGTGCTAGTGATGTACACAACATAACAGGGCATTTCATTTCATTTAGATAATTTTTTTACTAAATTGGGTACAACTTCTGGCCATTCCAAACTTACATGAAATGCCCAAAAGCACATATAACCACACTCAGAAATGCCAAATTTAGAAAGCAAAGTGCAACAATAACACATCCAAGTTTACAAAATGCAATTTATATTTTCTTTTCCAACAAATTCTCTATTTCATGCATCCTGTTTTCAACCCTATCAATTTTAGACTATTGCTCACAACCAACTTCTTCCATTGGCTAATTAGTTGCAGTTTCCTCTATCCCCTCATTCACACTAACACTTTGCCTTTGCCTCGTTTGCTCAACATCTTCCTTAGGACTATGCTTCAACTGCTTCCTTAGCTCAAAATTTTCCTTAAATAGTTTCTTCCTTTCATTATAAAGGTACCAAATAACATCTTTGGCCTTTTGGGTGAAATCTGTATCATGCCACACAAAGTAATCATACTTCTTTGACACATCCTTTTCTTGTAACCAAATTGAGCATATAAAACCATTGTTCAAAACTGAAAGCCAAAATAATAATAATAATAATTTTTCAAAAGTGGAACCCACCCTAAAATCTAGACATCCATAAAAGCAACAACTTGGATTTGAGTCCCTTCATGCAGTCCACCATGGAGCAAACTTACCACAGCCGCAATGGCAGATGGGTGGTGGGTAGTCATACTCAGGAATACCATCATATAAGATGAAAGGAGGACAACTAGATGAAATCAATACACCACGTGAAGCAGAACGTCATGAGAATGAATTTCCATATGTCCTTGACATTTCTCTCTTAGCATAAATTGTGGTTGGGTTCAGGAGAAGACAGTGAAAGAAGAAGATCATGGAAAGCTCAATGAAGATTAAGAAGGGGATGAAGACAAACCCTAAATCCCCAAAATGGTTCTGCAAATCTATTTTAAAAGCTTTGGGTTTTAGGTTTTC